CACTAAGCAGGAACTAACTAAGTGGCAGTGAATGGTATAAAAGCTCACTGGACATACAAGGTCACTAATCCTCTCACTGTATATTATCACATAAGAAACAGTATATAAATCGTATAACAACGTTTAATCAACAACAGCAACAGCATCAATGCAACCACAAAATACACAACACAAAATCAAACATAACTATTTAAACTTATTGTTATTATCATACGTTGGCTTGGCTTAATACTTAAAGAAGGTCGTTACTGATCAAATATTGTGGATTATATCTTAAACAACATTAGTATTCTTCACTTCATTAGGTCGTCTCTTTCGTGCAATCACTCATAGGTAATTTTAATGCTGATCACGACTCTGCTATCCATTCGTCCCCATCTGAGCTTTTGTAGTGGATCTTCAGAAAACTAATCTCTGAACTCCCATGTTAGAATCCAAGATGAAGAGAGCTTAATTTTTCTGTCTTGCAGAGCTTGTCGAGTTACCTGAATGGATAAATTTTGAGATATAAAAGTACATTCCTGGCTCAATGTGAGACATTTTACTCCAGGAAAAGGTAAAAGTCAATACTCTACCGAGGAAAAAGCAATCGATCGTCAGAGACGGCTGCCCCGTTAGACTAAAATATTACACAGTCCTTCTTCGAGCTTTACGCATCTGTTCACACTTTTTTCATTGCTTGAAAGCAGTCGTCAACATCTTCTTTTAATTATTTTGTAGCAACGTGAGGATCCATTAAACTTTATTAAATCATGCACAAGTAAGATCAGTGCACAAAGCTGAACAGAATCTGATTTTTTTCCAATACATAAAAACAAGTTCCACATTACGGCCTGTTTACTAAAGTTTGCTGCCTAAAGTGCGATTCAGTCAAGGTTTTTCACTAAATTAAATCGGTCATAACTTTTTAACGAAAAACAGTAGAGACTCGAGCAACATTTTGGTGGGAAGAAAAGACGCAGCTCTTCAGAACTGGATCCAAGCGACATCTTCAAAACATTTTGTTGTAGCGAAAAAATGTGAACAATACTTTTCTTGTCAAAGGACATCAAAATTGTACACATTTTTCGCCTCAACGAAACTTTTAAAAACTTTGCTTAGAATAAATTTTAAAGAATTTCGTCTTTTCTTCCCAGCCAAATGCTGCTTCAATATCTACTGTTTTTCGTTTAAAAGGTATGATCATTTCAATTTAGTGAAAAACCGTGATGAAATTTCACTCGTGGTAGCAAAAGTTGGTGGACAGACCAAGTTGGTGGTTAGTATTTCTTTTGGTGCATAAATATAAATAAAAATGTCACTAAAGCCAATCTCACCACGACGCGTATACATTTACACAAATCTCCAGCTTATTTGCGCTCTACCAACAGATAAATCTCCAACGGCAGTTTGGAATGCTGTCGGGGTTAAATTTAAATCTCCGTAAGCACAACCAGCACAACGATCACTAATTATTACTGTAACACTACCACGTGGTCCATAAACTTGTACATGTTTACCACAATTGCTATTCTTGTTTGGATTACCATCCGGTGATGGATCAAATTGTGCTGCATTTAAACCAGCAATCAAATCGGTATTGACATGTAGTCGACCACATGCTGTATAACCGCCTTCTAGATTAGCCCATCTTGCATTACCTGTGTACCATGCATTGACGGTTGAAACAATAACAAAGCATATTATTGTGATGGGCAGGATTTTCGAATACATTTTATTATTTCACTCGAAACTGTTGGGTATTCTGCTAATAAAAGCGTTATGAGATTCAATGGAAAGAACACATATATATATATCACTCCTACAACCATTTTAATAGAAATTTTATTAAATCAAAACATTATTTCCATGAGAATAATTTTCGCAAAT